CATAGGAGCAGAAAGGCTGACGTTTCGGGCCTAGACCCTTCATCAGAGATGCTTTTGGCGGGATGAGGTTGGTAGGTAGGAGATGGGGGTGCGGCTTGAGGTGGGAGGAGGGGATAGGTGGGAGGAAGAACAGGTTAGGGAGGCGGGGACGAGCTGGGCTGGTTTTGGGTCCGAAACGTCAGCCTTTCTGCCCCTATGATGCTGCTTGGCCTGCTGTGTTCATCCAGCTCTGCACCTTGTTGTCACCAATTTAAGTGTATCACAAGTTGCCTTAAAAGTCCGATGTAATTTTCACGACTGAAGCTTTTGAAAAGGTTACTTTTTTGAGATTGTTAAAGGTACAGGACATTTAAAGCTATTGTCATTTAATGCTTATAAAAAATTTTAAGTCTCAGATCCCAGTATATTTGTAATTGACACATCCAAATATGAGAAAATTTATTAATTTGCATGTAAATTACTTGGGTGGTATTTCTTTCAGGTATCAGTTTGCAATTGTCAGTTTTTCTTCGTAAATGCATGTTAATTTGTATTTGGAAGGAAATTAAGTTTCAAAATAATATAGCACCTGTATCAATTTAATGAAAATAAATTATGTTTCTGCAATCAACACATCCAAGATTTCTATGATTTTAAAAACCAAAAGAAATGCAGATGCTGTAAATCGGAGACAAAAATAGAAATTGCAGGAAAAGCTCAGCAGGTCTGGCAGCGTCTGTGGACAGAAATCAGAGTTAACATTTTGGGTCCAGTGAACCTTCCTCAGAACAGTTTTCCACCAATATCTGTTTTTGAGTTCAATGCTTCTGTTTGGAATGACAGCACAGTATTTGGTCATTGTCCTTCATTTTAAGTTCATTCTGCATAAATTGTAACACTTTCACTGCGATGATACAAGTTGGGCAACCCAAGGAATTTGAACCTCTTGTGTACTTAATGTTTTCAAAACATTAAAATGAAATAAGTTAATAAGTTGCTAAAATAAACTGTTTGGAAAACTTTGCTAACTATTCTCACTGTTACCTCTTTTGCACAATCACAATGGTAATCTTCAGAAATAGCCCTGAATACCAAGCTCCTGGCACAAAGGAATCTTTAACCCTTAAAATTCTTCAATCTTTGCTTTTGAGGCATTCCAAGCTACTGCTATGATTATGCATGTAAGATAAATCTTTCGTACTATAGCCTTATTTCACCATATTTTGCTTTTAAATACCTTGAAGGCTTTATCTCCTCTGATTTAAAACTGCTGTTCACTGGAGGAACAGGCAAAATTTGAATTGGAGCTGTATTGCTTCTGACAATGAGATTGTTTGGCACATTTGGTAGCAATTGTTGGAGCTTGGTCAATGTAGTTACTCCTTGTTTCCCCTCTAGCCTCCTTCCCACTACTTTCCAAACACTTAATTTAATATAACACCAACATTCTTAAGTGCAGCATCATATTACTGGCTTTGATGGGAAGGGGAACCATAGTTATACTGTTTGCTGGAGGCTCTATGAAGTCAAAAATGAGGAATCACAATTTATATCTACACAGATTATAGTGCACTGACTTCTAACACCAGTAAGATTTGTAATGTTTAAAAAGGTCTAAGAAATGCTAACCTTTTATTTTGCTATTCCCGTGTCACTGCCAGTCCATGAAAAAAAGCATATTTTGAACTCAGTCCTCTAGAGGGGTATTGAAACCTTACCCTCAACCTATAGAATGTCTGCTCAACACAGGCCATCTTTTTATGGTATGTGGGAAACTGTCAGCTCTGATATAAACTGATCACTGGAAGCTCCTGGCCATGAGCTAGGTTATCAAAAATGGACTGCAAGGAAATATGCTGTTGCCATTCTCATTAATCAAGCAGCCAGCTCTGTGCAATTGTACTGTAGAAGGTTGAGTCAACGTTGATATGGATGCCAATCAAGATTCACACGGTATCAATTCAGAGGACTTTTGCTCGTCAGAAACCCCTCTAATATCCTCTTAAAATAGGGAACTGTAGACACAGGAAATGAACACTTGTCCAGACTACTGGTAACTGTGAGATTGATCAGAATAGTACTTTGGGATCCACGTCTAAAGATTTTTACTTATCAAATTATTTCCTGTTCCACATCAGCAGCCTGTGGATGCCTATTACCGGCCATAATGGAGTAAGGGCTAGCAGACTGCCAAGTACAATTTTCAAAATTTGAAGAGTCACTGAACCAGTCTTAATTCTAGCCCTGTCTAAATGAGAGGGAATTCAATGAAACACCCATGACAGACAGAAATGTTTGAAGTAAAGGACAACTAGCTCCAAGTTCTTCAGAGCTAAAGGAAAATCTAGACAGTCATATCACAGTAAAGCTGGAAAAATGGGAACTTAACTAATTGGGTAATACCCAAATGAATTGTACTGAAGTTATATTTTTCCATTTCTTTATTCTCAATGTGGTGAAACAGGGTAGGTACAGTTACTGCAACAAAAGTAGTGTTTGATTGGCTGGTTGAAGTGTAGCAAATTCCATTTAGTAAGTCAATTATGGTTCAAAACTAAAAATATGATGTTACATTTAGCACAATTTAAATTTAATTGAAAAAAAAAACTTTTAGAATTTATATATACTTCTGTCAACTAAACTACTGAGATTAATATTCCTATTGTCTAGCTATACACAAATTTTCATTTGATTGTTTTTTAAAATTTTTGAGAATGTTTTTATTTTAGGAGTGGATTTGAAAGATAACATATAGAATCGTCTCCATGTACCCATTGACCATGCCTGAATCAGCTATTAGACTAGTGAAAAGCAGAATCCTCAATATATTAACTCAATAAATGCTGCAAATCAATCTCAGAAAAATATTCTCTACTGTACAAATGAGAATTTCCATTCTTATAGTTTGCTTTTATAGAACTGTAATTATTGGTCCTGGAGGATCTATCGTTCATGTAGTGTACTGCTTTGCTCAATCAGCACAATTGGATAACTCACCACCATACATTTCAATATTTATCTTTTGTGTGGACTCTTTCTTCATATTTAAACTTTAAATTGGTGATTTGTAATGGTGATGTTATAATTTCAACTTAAGCTATGCCATTTGGATTGATTGTGACCTTCTCTTAGTGATTATTTATAAAAGGGGAGCAAAGTTTTTGGAATTGTTGACTCATTTGTTTGAAAATTCCTCTGGTTTAAAATAGAAAATGTTGAAGCTACTAGCAAAACCCCAATGGCATTGCTAAATGAGTCAAAAGTATGAAGGAATAGGGATATTAATCTAAGCAATTAGCAATGACGATGAGGAGATTGATCTTAGGATCCACTAGTGCAGTTTCCAAAGTTTCCAAGGCATTTGAAAGGGATCTTGTATGGGATGCTGCTTCTGAAGAAATGTGATGTCTAACCTTTGGTGAGTAATCGTTAGCAGGCTATATTAAACTGTTACAAGGAATTATGAAAGAGGACATACTGCTGAAGCTTTATTGACCCTGCTCCAGTCTTACCAGTGATCTGATGTCACTATGATATAGCTCTTTTCGCACCTGCTCAATGGGCATCTTTGGAATAAAGGTATAATTAATCCTTTACTCTATAGTCTAACATCACTGGGAGAGGTAGTCTGGGATGGAAAGCATTTGAAGGTGAGATTCCAGAATCTGTTATAATGGTGTTCATCCTCCAGCAATGGAACTATGGTCAAGTTGACCATGACAGCTGATAGTCAGTCTTAACATGTGGATGGAGAGGTCCCAGAGAAGAGTCATGAGAATCTAGTTTTAATAGGGAGTATACTTCTCGTGAAAAGTATACCAGAATTAGAGCTTTTTCAGATTTATCGAAGTAAATAGCTGAAGGATCTTACAGCTTTTTGCAGGGAAAGACCCAGCAGGATGTGACACTCATTGACCTTGTCCTTCTAGGATTACCAAACTCCAACCTCAAACACATTTCCATTTGCTAGTCTACTCACACACCAAACTACTGAATGGCTATTTCAGAAATTTTTAAAATGTATGGTTTACTTTACTTAAAGTCTTACTTTGAGACTATAACTGTCCAAAATCTATTACAGATATTAATGTTTGAAATAAAATTGGTAAATATTTTGAGTGATTTAATTGGTTCATCAACAAAATGTCAATGTCAGCTATTAATATTCTAAGTTCTTAATTAAATGTGACCATAATTTGTGTTAAAAGCTCTTGTAAGGGTGTGTAAGTAAGAAATTTTTAGTATATATGGATGTTGTAACCTAAACAACACCAGGAGTTTTCCATTTTTACATCGGTTTGAATGCAGGTCTATCAATTGTATGTCATGGAAATTTATGACTCTTTTCATCATTAGCGTTATTTAAAGGACTCAAAGCATTACAACATTTATCAACACAACAATCTGGCATTTTAGCTCAGACTGTGACATTTGCTAGAAAACACGGTTTATTGTAAAACATTAATCAGCAACGATTTAATTCCTATGGTGCTCAATAATTCAACAGATTTACAATGTCTTTTTAATCTGTGTATTATCTTGTACCAAAATTTCTAAATGAAGTGAGTCAAATAAATCTCTGATTTACACGTACATCAGAAAAAAGGATCAAGACTGTCAAAATAGTGCGCTAAAGGGCTGCTAATATTACCTTGCTACGTGATTAATCACTGGTGCAAAATTTGTCGGTCCATAAAGCTGGACTGTCTTGAGACTCCTGTGATATGCTTCAAGAATTCCTTCGATACCATTACAATATGGGTTGTCAGGGTTGCCATTCTGTAAGATGTTCCAGGGAAATAAAGCACAATTGGAGATTAGCATGAAACTCAGATTTTTTTTCTGGTATTTGTTTCAGATACTGGGATATATTTCTTTCATTAAAGTAAAAATATTATTTGTCATTTATTCACCTCTTATTGTCACTGATCTACTTCACAGTTTTGCCCATGTTTCAACTCTAATGCTGTTTCATTATGAAGTTTAACAGAAGTATTTAAATATTATTACTGAAAGGCACTGAACATGCCTAAATAATTTGGCACTATTATGAATTTTGACCATCAATATTTGTACTTTACTATTAAATTTATAGAAACATAGAATCCCTACAGTGCGGAAAGAGGCCGTTCAGCCCATTGAGTCTGCACCTACCCTCTGAAGAGTATCCCACCCTCTCTCCATAAACCGGTATTTACAATGGTTAATCCACCTAGAGAACATTTGTTCCCTTTGGCCGTATCCCTGTTGTGTGAATAAAACTTCAACCTGACACTTGCATATCAAGATCCTTGATTTTGCAATAGTACTGGAGTCTTACAGTTTTGATTGTTATTATGAATGCTATAGTGAAAAACTGAATGGATTTCCAACAGAAGTACCCCTGAACTTGTCATAATCAAATGAGAAAACTTAATCAGCTGCTAAAATGAACATCAAATTGAATACAATCCCTCTAATGAAACCTTAAGGTTATCAGTTCACTGCATGTTGTCAATCTGAATATACTTTGCAAGAACAACATCTTGTTATACTAATTGGCAAATGTGAAAACATTAGCAAAGGCACTTCTCTTCAGGTAAACATAAAATAATGGCTGCATGTCCAGGAACTTCGTCAGTAACTGAGATACGGAAATATTTGTTTTTCCCCAGCCTTATTCTTAATTGAGTTTATTTTCACTTTATATTCTCCACTTGTGTGTCTACAAGATTGGGACAAGCTTGACAGCAAATCAATGTCGATCATGAACATGCAGCTGAACCTGTAAGCAATAGCACAAATCAGTGACAACATTTTCTGATTTTGCTTTCACCCTGTGGAAAAAAATTCCCAATATCCAACCAAATCTTGCAAATGAGCAACTTTTTTTGTTTTCTTTTAGACCCAGAATGAGCAATGATATTGAATACAGAAATGTAACTTTTGAAGAAAGAGCTCCCATTTATGTAGCACTTTTTCACATAATTTCATAGAGTCTATAACAAGAAACAAATCTCTTGAACCAACTTGATTTTGCTGGCATTTGTGCTGCTTTACCTAAGCCAATCGGCATACCCTTTGATACTTTGCTCCTCATATGCATACCTAGATTCCATTTAAATGGTTTGATGTTTTTTTTTGAATTGCTGCTTGTTGTAACACACTCCACAATCTTACCAATTTTGGATGAAAACACTTCTCTTCAATTTTGATGAATGCTATCACACAATTGAGGGCCTCTAGTTCTGACTTGCATACAAATGAAGACATTTTCTCTCATTTTGAATCACTTTACAATCAATGAAGTACTTTTGAAATGTTGTCACTGCAAGAGTGCTACAGGTAAATACAAGAATATTTGCAAAATGAACAAGCATCATATGATAAAATCTCATGTGACCAAATTTCCAGGAATCCATTCAACCAGAGTTGACAACCCTAAATAAACACAATGTATCCATGAGTTGGATTGTAGATGTACATTGACCTCAAGGTGCTTGCAATTACACAGTGGGAAATCAAAGCTCACAAGGAACAGGAATTTTCTATTATTTACTTCATGCAAACATTATCCTTTGTTGGGTTCTTACATTTTTTTAAGCATTTGTTCTATTAATTAGCAGGATAGTATATGAAAATGACATTGAAGCAGAAGATTAGCCAAGATCTGTTTGAATTGTGGGGTTCTATGAGACCCAGGCCCGGCTCCAATTTCTTATTTCCCTGTCAAAGCATACTAAAGCTACTATGCACACCTGCTCTGTTCCCATCCATACTTCAAATGTCTTTCCACATATTAGACCTGACATTGCAAAAGCAGCACATTAAAATATTTTACCAGAGCAAACTCATGTGAAACTCTTCCATCGGGAGGCAGTTTAGCTCCAAATCCCAAAGCTGGAAACATCTTATCACTGTCATAGTCCTGAATGATTTCCCCCACTGCTTTCAGTGCCATTGCATATGCATTCATCTGGTAAGGATTCATATAGTGTAATGAGGTGGACTGAGACGGATTTCCTGGTGAAGCAAATAATAAGAAAAACAATCTATTAAAACAAAATCTTTTAATGATAAGGCAGTTATTACATTTCTGTGGTTGTTAGCTATGTTATTTTAAGATATCAATGAAATTATACTGACTTATATTAATACCAATAACATAGCAACTTATATTCACAATAGGACAGATCCCCCAATGACCATCACCCATATCCCAGGGTATCACTGCACTACAAGAGTATTGTGCCTGATTCACAGGTTTAGGTGATTTGCTTGACTGCATGAACATTGACTCTGTAAACTGAAGGTTGGGCAGAAAAGTTCAACACTAATCAAACATTTAGACTCTTCTAAATGGAGAGGGCCTAAGTGAAGGAGTTTATTCCTTCTGGGCACCCCCAACATAGTTATTCCCAGTTTCAATAGGAAAGCCCAGCTTTTCTGTGCCTGGCCACCATGGATCAAGTCTTCCCTCAGCATAAATCGTAAGGGAATTATTAGTACCATTCAATACATGTCGATTGTCATTAAGACAAATAGCAGCCTTCCCATCATTAGGCCAGCGGAATATATTTCTATCAATTAGATCATCAAATAACAATCTTTACTCAAGCTTTTATGTGGTTATTTCAATTATACCATTTAAATAAAAGACCACTGCTGGGAATTTCCTCAAGGGTATTCCCCAACAACACTTGCAGCAGACTATCAACAATTTATCAAACAAAACATGCTCTTGTCATAAGACAATTAATAACAGGTTTTTGCTAAGCATTTTCAATGTTTAATTTTGTAAAACATTAGCATTAAGAAAGCAAGTTCATTCCTGGTAAATGCTGCCTAACGTACTATATGTCCTTTCCATTGACATCAATCCTTTATTATTTCCTCTTAGTCTATAATTGTAGAAACATCTTTCCAATGGAGTACAGTAATTGTACAACAAATATAAATAAACTACAGATCAATGAAGTAAAATTGTGTAAAGATCTCAATTTTAATTTGAAGGTTTTCTAATACATGATAAAATATTTACTAAAGCTTAATGTCCATTTAACCCATGGAAAAACAATCAAATGTTTGATCTAGACCATAAATCAGTAACTCACAGCCACCTGCATAAGTGAGACAAACTCAATTAGTAGTGGAGATTTATCTAAAGCTTAAGTACTTACCATTAGAAGCTGTGAAATCGATAGCCACTGTAAAATTTATCTGTGTTCTGCAAGATTAAACAGGGAGACATAACGTTTTATCTCAAATATACTTAGACATGATTCTGTGTTGGTTTTTATTTCAATAATGGTCTATGGAGCTTTTCTTGACATGTTGCAGTGGTCTAGGGATAGGTTAAAGATATTTTTCAGAAGAGCAGATACATATTGTGATCTTTATCAACATCCTTGGCTCAAGTAGCACCATAAATGAAATGTTAACCATTTATCAGTACTTGTAAGACCTGAAATAGGCATGTTATAGTAGACTTGATTCTCAACACATCTCATAATACAGTGCAGAAATATAAAAAGAAACTATATTCTGGTGTTTTCCCAAAGGGGGTCACGATCAGACTTTATAGCTCTCCAGTCAGATTTAGCCAAAAATACTGTATACAGTTGTAGTTTCCAACCAGAAGGCATACAAATGCTGAAGGCAGTGCAGAGAAAAGACATGACCCAACGCCAAACAGTAAAGTTATAAGATATGACTAGAGAAGCATGAGTTTCTATTTTTAGCATGCATTTGTAAAATGATTTTAAAAGGTTCTTTCACTTAAACTGTTGTTGTAGCATTATAGAACATGGGCTCAAAATAAAAATACAAGAGATCGGGAAAACATCCTTCATGAAAGTGTTTTGATGTTCGGTTTTATGCCTACATCTATGAGTTTGAGTTCACGACAGACTGGTCGAAGAGAAGGCAAGATCAAGGACTGTCTTCAGGCTTGGGCTTCTTTATAATACTTTTTAAAAACATATTAAGACTGAAACATGGTATTCAGAGATATACCAGTGTCTAATATTACAATTACGTTATTGAAAGATTATTCCATAAACAGTTAGTTTGTCTATTCCACATGCTTCTCTGCAAGTATTTCGAAATTCACACAACTGGACTGCAGGCTAAAGCCTAGCTCCCTGTGTCCTTCTCTCTTCTTCTCTTACTCTATTCACACCGTGCTATTTATGCTCAGCGAGGAGCAGTTCCATAGCATTGTTGTTCCAGGGCTTTAAAGCCCTTAAACAAGACAAAGAGTAATCAGTATGGGGAATGAACTTCCAGACAGATTGCTGACCACAAAATTACATTTTAAAAAACTTGTATTTAAAGTAATAAGATGTTCCAACATGATTCACAGTAGATATTTCAAACAAGGCAAGACACTGAACATGGAAGAAGATTACTGGGGTAAGGAATTAAGAGCTTGGCTTAGATTTTGAGGAGCGCTTTGGAGGAGAGTGAGGGCTGGACAGGTAGATGGGTTTACATGGAAAGATTTCCAAAGCTCAAGGCTTGAGCCACTTTTAAGCATGGCAGCCAATGGTAAAACAATTAAAAAGCTGCAAATGCTCAAGATGCCTGATCTAAAGGAATGCAGATATTTCAGAAATTGTTCTGAGGCTGTAAGTGGTTACAGGGTTAGGGAACAATGACACTTTGGATGGTTTTGATTGGAATTTTAAAATTGAGGCATTATTTAAACAGCCGTCAGTGTACTTCAGCAAACACAGGTGATGGGGAATAGCAGTATAGTATCTACTAGACAAGTATTCCAGGGACCTAAGTTAAGGATCTGGAAACTTGCATTAAAATCCCAAGTTGGTAGTTCAGGAACTTAAATGTTGTTACTAAGTCTGGACAGAAAAGCTAGCAACAATATGGTGATCATGAAACTACCAGATTGCTGTAAACAAAAGAAAAACTAGTTCACCTGTGTCCTTTAGGGAAAAAAAGTCATCCTCACCTGGCCCAAATATAAGGAATATTATACAAGGACGTGAGGTTGAGAGTGGAATTTTTTGAGGAGGGGGCAATGAGAGTGATTTTTGGATGAGATGGGACTAGTACTTAAGATGACAGAATGTCTTTTCCTCTGTCATCCTTTGTTGTTTCTTTCTTTTCACATGTGACTATCAGATAATTTAGTCCTCTTTCCTCTCAAGTGCTATTTTCAGAGCTTTTGTCCTGTATTTTCTAATTGACCAGGACACAGATCTTCACTGAGTAGGAAAGAATTTGAAAGTGTAATTGATATTTATAGGAAACCACTGATTATTTTGCAATGTTCAGTTGTTTGGAGAACCAGGCAACTGGATATGACTGTAGAACAATTGTCAGCGAATTCGCTGACTAATTCTGAAAACTGGTCAGAAACTAAGTGTTAGAATTTTTGTCTGACACTATCAGTTTGTGCTCATATTGTAATGACAATTTTTTTTGGCAGTCATTATCAATCTTTAGTAGTAGGCTGTGCTGATGTGGTAGATGTCAAACAAATTTAATGCCTCATCTCAACTTGTTGAGAACTGCTCACAAAACAAACAATACAAAGTTGGCTGAAAAGATGCAAAATACCTATAAACGATCTGAAATAATAACTGATGGGAGATTGAAAGGTACAATAGGGAGGGTGATAGCATAATGGTATTTTTGCTGGACTAGTAATCCAGAGATCCAGTGATGCTCAGGGGCCTTGTGTTTGAATACCACCACCATAGATGATGGAATTTGAATTCAAAGAGAAATCTGGAATTTAGTGAAGGAAATCTGCCACTGTTACCTCGTCTGACCTACATGTGATTTCAGATGCACAATAATGTAGTTGACTCTGAATGATCTTCTAAAGTGGCCTAGCCAATTCAGTTGTATTTTACTGCTAAAATGTCTTAAAAAAGGAACGCACTGACAACCTTGCATTGGCCTAGGCACCAGAAACAACAGTGGCAAACTAAACACTGAGCCTGCAAAATCCTTCTTGCTAACATCTAGAACCTAGTGCCAAAATTGGGAGAGCTGCCTCACAAATTAGTCAAGCAACAGCCTGACATCACAGAGTCATTCCTTACAATGTCCTCGACAACATCATCACCACCATCAGTCCCAGTATGTCCCATTGGCGGGACAGACCTAGCAGCATTATAGTATGCAGTCAGGAGGGAATTGCCCTAGGAACCTCAAAATTGACGCGGGGAGCTATCAAGTTATATGTCATTAGGTCAAACTTGGGCAAGGAAACCCCCTGTTGATTACCACATACCAACAACCCCTCACCGTGAAATCAGTACTTCTCAATGTTGAGCATCATTTGGAGAAAGGCCTGAGGGTGGTAAGAGTGTAGAACATACACTATTTGGGGGACTTCACTGTCATTCACCTAAACTGACTAAGTAGTACCATCACTAATGAACCTAGTGGAGTCCTGAAGGGTATATCTGCTCACCTGGGTCTGCTGCAGATGGTGAAAGAACTATCAAAATGGATAAACATACTTGACCTCATTCTTACCAATCTGTCTGCCACAGACACACATATCCATGTACAGGTAGGAGTGATCACTACACACTGCTTGAGGAGATGGAGTTTTGGTTTCACATTGTAAATACTTCCATCTTGTTCAATGGCACTACTACAGTGCTAAATGAGATAAATTTTGAACAGATCTAGCAACTCAAAATCAGGGCATCCATGAGATGCTGTGGCCAACAGCAGCATTATGCTAGTACTCCAATACAATCTGCAATCTCAGGGCCTGACATATCCCCACTCCATCATAATCATCAAGCTGGGGATCCAACTATGGTTCAATAAAAAATTTGGGAGAGCATACCAGGAGTTGCATCAGGTATACCTAAAAATGAGGTGTCAAACTGGTGAAGTTAAAGCCCAAGTCTACATAGGTGTTAAACATCAGAAGCAGCAAATGATGGACATGGCTAGGTGATTCCATAAATAACGGGTCAGTCAAAGCTTTGAAGTTCTGCCACATTCAGTCATGAATGGTGATGGGCAATTAAAGAATTCACTGGTGCAAGCAGCTCCACAAATATCCCCATTCCCATTCATGGGGAAGCCCAGCACATCAGTGCAAAAGATAAGGCTGAGACACTTGCAATGATCTTTAGCCAGAAGTGCCAAGTGGATGATACATCTTGATCGCCTCCAGAGGGCCCCCGCATCACAGATACCAGTTTTAACCAATTTGGTATCAGGAAATGGCTGAAGGCAGTGGATTCTGTAAAGCCTATGGGTTCTGACAACATTCTGGCATGATTATTGAAGATCTATCATCCATATTGCCTCAACCCTAGCCAAGCTGTTCTAGTATATTTGCAACACTGGCACCTACCCAACAATGTGGAAAATTGTCCAGGTATTTCCTGCACACGACAAACGGGATAAATCCAACCTAGCCAATTATTGCCCCATTAGTCTATTCTTAATCATCAGTAAAGTGTGAAAAAGCAACAATTGCTCAGCAATAACCTGCTCAGGGACAGTCAGTTTGCGTTTCTTATTGGGTTTCTAAGCGGTTTTGCTTAGTTTCTTATCTCATTACAGCCTTGATTTAAACATGGACAAAACTGTAGAAGTCCAGCATTGAATTGTGAGTTGACTACTCTTGATGTCAAGGCAGCTTTTATCAAGTGGTTCATAAGGAAGCTCGAGCAAAACTAGAGTCAATGGGATTAAGGGGCAACTCTCTACTGTGCTGAGTCATACCTACCACAAAGGAATATAGTTGTGGTAGTTTGATGTCAGTCAACTCAACTTCAAGGCCATCTCTGCAGGAATTTCTCAAGTTACCCCCAGGCCCAACCATCTTCAGCTGCTTCATCAATAAACTACATGCCATCATAAGATCAGAAGTTGGGCAGTTCGTTGATGATTGCAAAATGTTCAGGACTCCATTCAGGACTCCACAGATATTGAAGTGGTCCGTGTATAAGTGCAGCAAAATCTGGTTGACATCCAGGCTTGGGCTGACAAGTGGTGCGTAAAATTCATGCTGCAAAAGAACCTGGCAATGACCCATTCCAACAAGAGAGAATCTAAGCATTGCCTGTTGACATTCAACAGCATTATCATCCCTGAAACACCCAACGATCGACACCCAGGAGAAGCAGCCCATTTGATTAGCATCACATCAACAAACATCCACTGACATCTACCCAATAATGAGGAAAATTCCTCCAATAGCTGCAGTGCGTACCATCTACAAGA